GCTCGAAATCACTATGGAAAGAAATAAAAAAACAATTGTATGGAGAATATGAAGGGGATATACTTTATTTAAAGACTTATTAGATGATGTTGAACAATTTTTTTAGATTTTTGCATTTAACATACAAGAAATTTCAAGAATTGCTTTATATACTAAAACCACATACCAACATACCAGAACCAGAAAAAAGACTTGTTGTATGTTTGAGGTAAGTATTTTATTGATAATTAAGTAATCAGGTATAATTGGGTTTTTGAATTAAATTTAACTATTTTTATGTTAGTTCAGTATTTAAATAATTTATGGCTAAGAATACATATTGACAATCGCTGCAAAAAAAAATTCAAATTATGTATAATTCATTACGATTGAATTAAAAAATTTTAAAAATACAAAAATTATCATGTAAGTCGAAACCACCAGTTATAATTGATAGTCCTCACGAGTGACAACGCATCGGCATTTTAATTCGCAAACGAGGATAGATGCAGACGTCTATGGGCCACAGCAACCACTTACCATCAGGTGGACTGTGTGCTCGTTTATCACCCTATCCTATAAAAAAAATGTACAAATTTTGAAAAAAGTTATTTCTTTACGTTTGAATACCGACTCTGATAACCTGATAACGCACTTAAATGGAACCACAGGGTGTTCGTTACACGTTATATACTATAATTGCTATATTTTGGTTATATTATGATTGTTCCAGGTCTGACAGTTTGACTATATGCAACATAAGATTTACTATAAACTGATATACCTATGATATGGAACGTATGTAATATTATGTATGTCAGATGCCTTCACAATACAGTAGAAATACCTTAGTAACGTTTAAGCCTCGATCACACATAGCGAATACGCGCTGCGATTAGGCACTCGCAGCGAGAATTCGCTATGTGTGACAGGCTATTCGTTGCGATTAGATTCATTCGCCGCGAGTTGAATTCGCTGCGAATTTAATTGAACATGTTCAATTTTACTCTCTGCGAATGAGCACTCGCTGCGAAAATTCGCTGTGTGTGACAGGGTACTCGCTGCGAGTAGCCATTCCGTTCCAGACTAAACGCCTGTGCATACGTCGTTTCGTTGCTGCAAGGTACGTGTGTGTAGGTCAATCAAATCAGTTAACCGATAAACGATTCTCTAAAATTGGAAATTACGATATAATTCGTTTCTTGGGTGTGATGGAAAAAATGGGAATCTGTTTAACACAAATAACAGTAATTTAAAAAAACGCACTTCATTGTTTAACGAATTAATTGAGTTGGGATTCGAAATAGCAACCCAAGAGCAATTAAAAAGGAAATTAAGAATATAAAAGATACATTATAGATAATTCTCGTGTAGTACTCACTGTGTGTGTCTCACGTAGGCAACAAATTGTCGCTGCGAGTAATATTCGCAACGAATACACTCGCAGCGAATATTCGCTGTGTGTGGCTGAAGCTTAAAAAAGCGCGAACGTCGCGCAAGGTTTTCTATCGCATAAAATTAAACAATGTTTCATTATAAATTGAATATTTATTTGCAACAAAAAACAAATTACCAAATAATATTTACTGCAATTACCTTGAGAATATTTTTTAAATATTAAACCTAATATATTTTGACTTCGTGACTATCTTGTGCAAAACGCACTTGCGTAAGTTGATTTCCACAGCAGTTTATTTTATTTTATTTATTTATTTATTCTTTATTGCATTCCTTAACCTAAAAGAATACAAAGGGCGGACTTAATGCCTTGTGGCATTCTCTACCAGTCAACCCATGGAGTGGTGAGAATTTGAAGTAGGTGTAGCAATATAGAATAAAAAGAAAATAGAAATGTATAATTAATTACATTTTATATACATTTTACTATTATATACAATAAATAAACTATAAAAATATATCCTATTTATACATGTATACAAATATATACGTACATACATAAGCATACATATATTCATACCAACATACATATACAAATAATACATATAAATAACTATAAATATATACGTCTAAAATATAAATGACATGGATGATTCATCTAAGTAGCGTTGTCTTTAACAGATAGATGATTACGCACCAACTTTTTAAAAGTTGGTGCGTAATTTTTTAAACAGTTTCTGTTCAATAAAATAAAATCAGACCATGCACAGTATGAAATAACATAAATAAATTACAATATTTAGGTCTTTTATAATAATCAACATGTAGCAACAGGAAACCTGTCATTTAAGTCGGTTCATACACTATGATGATAGTTACATTTTGCTTTACCCATGTTGGTGTCGCTCAATATCAAGAGGATTGTTAAGCTGTAAATTTTCATACAAAAAGCGATAACATTTCCCCCCGTAAACATAGTCTAATTTTCATAATTTTTGGAAATGTTGTAGTTATGATGAAAAACTAGATCCACACGTTTTTATTTTTAAAGCAATATTGCGTACGTTACAAGTTATTAGCATCTAAATATCTATATTTTTGACTTAAAAACTTGCTCGAGTGTTTTAATTTATTTTTCTTTAACTAAACTGAATTACTAAAAAAAAAAAACATGCAGACCTAGATTAGATTACAGCCGTACTGTCTAATGAGACTACTCGCGCCGCGTATCTACACTTCACAATCCTCTTAATGCCTTATGTTTTCCTAAACCACGTCATTAATAATTTAGAAAATAATGATCAGTCTCAATAAAATAAACTACTACTACGGACTATGGATATCCCTAAAAAGAAGAATCAAAAAAAGTTAAAAATGTGTAAAAAATTAAATAACACATTACTGAGGCATTGTTTTGCCGATATGCATACACTAAAAACGGTTTTTTTTTCATTTAAAATGCTACTTTTCTTTTCGATGATGACTTTTATAACATAAGCGTAACAAATAAGGTCACCTCAATCCCAACTAGCGACATCTGGTAAACATAAGATTATTAGTTCATTCGCTCTTTGAAAGTTCCCGCCAACACATCGTCGCGAGTTAGTGGCCGTTAATCATCGCACGATTAACCCGATATGTTTTACTTTATTATGAATAAATATTATCATTTTTTTAATCATATTAAATCAATGGCAGACAACTTTAAGCACATGGAAACTTAATTCAAAACCTCAAGACTGACCCAATTATTATTAAATCCTGTTATTTTTATACCAGAACAGACTCATATTAAAAGTTGTTATTTGCTAAGTTACTGCTGGCTATTTACTTAGGATTGAGTTGTAGACAAATCGTTTTTAAAGTGTTCTTAACAATCTTTCATCAAATTGATGCGGTTTACTAAGAAAAAAAATCCAGTCTAAAAATTTAAACATAAGAAAATTCTCGTTCTTTCTACAATCATACCAATTGACCTCATTGCTATTTTCTGCAATCATAATATAACAAAGATTGTCAATACATGTTAAAAACGTTTCGTTTCAGGGAAAACAATTGCATTAACTGTTTAAAGTATAAGCAACCAAAAACAGGACAAAGAACAATATCTGAAACGTCACTGATGGAGAAGTAATGCTAGAAAACAATCACTAATTTAGACTAGGCGTGATTTTTCTTAGCCGCTTCTAATATAAAAGAAGGAAATAAAATTAATAATTATGTACAAATATAAAATACTTAGAATATTAATTATTCCTGCAACTTACGTAAGTGCTTATCGTTAAACTAACTTCATTTATATTTAAATCATAAGTAAAACAAATATACAGCTATATCAATAACCCGTATTAAAATCAAATAAACTAATAGTTAATTGAAAACAGGATCGTTTAAAATAAGTCAATGACGTCTTTTACTAAAGGAACATAATATATTATGACATATAATTAATAGACTAGTTTATTTCCTTTGCAATTACAGGTACGTATTTCTGATCAAAATGACTAAGGCCTGAATTCCTCCTACGCTGACGTCGGCTGCGTACGGTCGGTAACGTACGCGTACGTAGCAAACTACGCGCCGTCGTCAGCGTCGTAGTGTGGGGCTATATAGAACACAGCACATTAGTACGCGCGACCGACGTCAGCGTAGGAGGAATTCAGGCCTAACCTTGAAAAATTGAAAATTCCAACATGCAATATCAAATAGGTTTCTGTTATGTTATGGGCCTTTATCTATGCTTATTGTGATATGAGACAGAAAAGATGACAAAGGAAATTGGTTTTCCAAATATATGAAACATTCTACTACAACTTTGACAACTTACATCAGCACAAGTGACCAACATAACCTGTGACCACAACTTCAAATGTTCCTATAAAAATGACTTGTATTTCGCCAGTAATCAATATGAAAATTATGAATGAATGACTAATGAAAAATATACTCCAGTCCCTTGAACTATATGTAAGAACTCGTAACAGTCGCCACACCATCTTCGATTACATTAATTAAGTGCCTTCACACAATAACCATTCTATATAATCTCTTCTATAATCATCCCGACGTATTGCACTTTAAAGTCTATGCATTAAAGTATAACAGGTGCATCTTTTCCCATATTATATATTTCACTCGGGGCAATCACACATGTCCACAAACCGCACAAGTCATAAACAAACACCATACACTGCATTTTCTTCTTATGAATATATTTATGAATTAAGATAGATTACTTTGATTACTTTAAAGGATAAACAGTATTCAATAACTTGTGGCAGCAATACCTTCTACCAAATCAGTTCTATACTACTTATTGATCGTTGAATTGAGGGCTCCATATTGATTGTCACACAATATGCTAATGGTGTAACTAGCATTTCCAATATATACGGTAATATAAAATGGTCATAAGAAATATTAAGAACACATATCCACTTGTATTTTTACCGCGTTTCTATTAAGTCACTTTCCTGTTTGTCTGTCTGTCTGTTGTTCTGGGTGGAATCATGCAACTCAAATTTTGAACACTTCCCGAGGAGCTAGAGACTTGAAATTTTAAACATAGCTCGGAGTCGGATGGCAATGTAGGATATGAAAATGTGGTATATTAAATTTTTTTTGGTACAAATACATATATACATAAACACACGCCTGTCACCCAGAGGGGTAGGCAGAGACTACGGACTTCCATTTGGCGCGATCCTGACACACCTCTCTCGCCTCTTTTACATCCATATATCTACGCATACACGCTCGTCGGTTAAGGGTACTACTTTGGTACAAAATTAAAAAAAATCACTGGATTCTAATGGTTTGACTGTGACTTTGGAATAGGAAACTTTATCTGTATAATATCTGCAGGAAATATATTCAAATATGCGAACTATTTTCAAACATTTCACTTGTTGACTTGTAGAAGTTTCTGGAGTTCCGTAGCAACTTGAAAGTGTCTTATAGCAGCAACCATTATGAAGTATTTCTTTAGATTATCATAAAGGCATTTTTCATAGTCCATATTATGTAGGAATATGCTCAGAAAATACCTTACTTAGAGAAGTTTTCAGAAGTTTGTAGCTTTGTTCATAGTCAGTCTTGTTGGAACAGTAGTAATCACAAATGAAATACTTCTTAGGGTGTTTACTACATCTCATGACAGAAATGCTTGCTTATCACAAATGGAGATTTATAGTGCATTTATACAGGAATAGGATCGGAAAATGTTTGGTTGAAAACATCTGCATCTGTATCATTCGTTGATTTTGAGAATTTCCAGAAGGATGCAGCTGTGTTGGTACAATCTTGTTAAGGAATAGCTGCTGCTCGAACTTAGAAGCATCAAGGTTACAGCTTCTAAAAACTCTGGCCTTAGAACTGAAAGCAACGTCCATAGTTAACATATTTCTTGAGCGGATATGGCAGGGGTAGTTCTTTGATGGCTCGCTTCATGAGTATGGACAGGCGGACTATTTTACTTTGAGGATTTCCATAAGGCTGGGGCCGTGTTGGTACAATCTTGTTAAGGAATAGCTGCTGCTTGAACTTAGAAATATCAAGGTTACAGCTTCTACAAACTCTGGCCTTGAACTGAAAGCAACGTCCATAGTTAACATATTTCTTGAGCGGATATGGCAGGGGTAGTTCTTTGATGGCTCGCTTCATGAGTATGGACAGGCGGACTATTTTACTTTGAGGATTTCCATAAGGCTGGGGCCGTGTTGGTACAATCTTGTTAAGGAATAGCTGCTGCTTGAACTTAGAAATATCAAGGTTACAGCTTCTAGAAACTCTGGCCTTAGAACTGAAAGCAGCGTCCATAGTTAACATATTTCTTAAGCGCATATGGCAGGGGTAGTTCTTTGATGGCTCGCTTCATGAGGATGGAGAGGCGGACGCGTCTAGCGTCGCCACCTTGGCTCGCGCGCTTCTTGCGTCTGCGTTGTGGACTACCTAGCCCATCATCAGAGCCATCTTCATCCGTAGACGACACCGGTCTCAGCAAACGGGTGCGTTTTGGCTGCCGGTGACGACCTGAAAATAATTTAAAGAAACTTCAATACTAAAAAGAATAAAGTAATTTTCACATAATAGCTTCTGAATTCTTGAAGAATTGAACTACTAATTCAATTTGTTTTAATATATTAAGCAAATTTTTTAAATAATTAAAAACTTTAGAATAAAGTTATGCTTCTTTATCTATACACATAAATAAAATTAGAGTGTCTCTCTTGAATAATATCGATCTAACTGCCTTAAATTGAGCTAAGGGGGTTATTTTGTATAGTCTGTCTGTCTGTGTGTCTGTCCGGGCTAATTTTCAGAATGGCTTACCACTTATAATGAAACTTCGAGAACATATAGAAAGCAATAATGCCGGGAACGATCTAGGCTATGTTTTATGCAAAAAAAACTAATATATTTTCGGAAATTTCTAATTAGCGACCCGGTTAGGCCTTGACGGAATCTTTTATGTATATACACTGAACTCCTCCTAAACGGCTGGACCGATTCCGATGAAATTGTGTGTGATTAAGTTGATTCTTGAATGGTTTAGATTCACAATTCGCCCGGTAGGTGGCGCTGTTGTCTAGATCTAGAAATCACCCGTGCGAAGCCGGGGCAGACCATTAGTATAACGATAAAACGTTATTATAGCGAGTTAACGTGTCGTAACCCTGGAATCGGGCTGACATAGCAGTTTCACAGAACAATGGGCAAATGAGGAATGCTTGCGCTGCGGAAAGGATCGCCGTGGAAACAATAGAACTGTCTCACAGTCTGACACCATCCACGCTTAACTTAACTTCATTGTAACTTTACATTTTAATTGAATTTATTACTTTTGTAACTTTTGTGAAATTAAATTAATTTTATTCTTTTTAAAAAGTCTATTGATCGCCGCCATATCGTACCTGGCGCAGTCGGTCTTTCGCGACAATTGGTAGAACCTTCGACCAATTGAACGGTTTCGATCGTATAAATCGCGACTTCGAATCTACGACGGCGGCACGGACGAAGACCAAGTGAAGCTGACTCAGACCCGTGAGGAGATGCAGAAGGTGCTTTGGTGAGTACTCTCGCTATTTCAAGTTCCCTTTGCTCTATTTCCTTCCGTATTTACTTTAAGTAGTATATGTGATTCTGTCTAGAAGCTAAATCGCTATAGACATTTAGTTAGGAGATTAGGTATTCGTCTTTTAGCTCAAATCTTTATAGATTCCTATTAGCTATTATAGGATATAAGTCTAAAAGCTAAAAATCGCTGCAATCTCTTAGTTGAGGTCCGGTAGTGTATACGTCTTATAGCTAAAATCGCAAATAGGCAGATACAAATTGCCCAACTATTTTAACTTATAACGTGTTTTTTTATTATTAATTTAAAAATTGCTTTTCCTAACGGTGAGGCAGCCAACTTTAAGATGATCGCGGAATTGATACCAAGGTACGATGGCAATACAAAGAGATTAAACCATTATATCAGAGAAATTGAAAATATTCTTAATCTTTTGGACGATACTGCCAGGGTACATCCGGCAATTATATGTCTCATAAAGAGTAGATTAAGGGGTACCGCGATTGATGCGATAGCATACCAAGAAACTCTTAATTCTTGGGAAACTATTAAAGATGCGCTCGTACATAGATTAAGGGAACCTAGGAATGAAATCCAGGTTATGCAAGAGCTTAGTAGGGTGCGGCGCAACAGAAACGAGGACGCCGAGACACTCACAGGCCCACCTGGACAACCATACGAACAACAATATGGCGAGGACGACACGGACTACGTGCATCAACAAGGTCAGTATGCATACTGTAGTGACAACTACAACCAACAGGTATACGAACCTCCAATGGACGACGGTGAGGTTCAGCAGGATTTTTACCAAGGTCCGGTGCCCTCAGACCAAAGTTAGTAAAACTAAATAACCATGATAAAGACCACCTTCCATATATTGATTGAGCTGCCAGAATTTCAAGGTAAGTTCCTTATAGACACCGGAGCCTCGCGCTTTATGATATCACCTAGTGTAATACAAAACACAATTTTCGAACACCTTGTAGAGTATGAACCATTCGAGGTAAAAACAGCACATGCCATTACACAGCACGATCAAGTGGCCTATCTACCACTGCCACCCGCGTTTAACAGCGATATAATTCATAAGTTCCTTATATTCGATTTCGACCCCAAATATAAAGGCTTAATAGGATTGGATTTATTGAGGACGCTATCGTGTAACATAGATATAAAAAATAGACTTTTACATACCGCTAACTCGCAGATACCAATTTCATTTGACTATCCCAGTAAAAAACTCAAGATTGAACCAAAATGCGAAAAAATTATAGTAGTGAAAACTAATTATTCTGACGGTCAGTACATTCACGATGATTTCATATGGTCTAACGGCTTAAAATCTCCCGCTGCTATGGTCGAGGTCAAAGAAGGAAAATTTAGAACGTCTATTATAAACTTTAATTCAGAAAAACGAATAATTGCTAATAATGAAAAGATATACCTAGAACCATACCGTGAGAACTCTGATAGATCTAGATGCAGTTTAAATTCCATAGAGGTTAACTCGGATATAGAGAAAGAATTACGCAACAACTTAAATAAAATACGTACAGACCATATGAATGAAGAGGAGAAACGCGAAATCACTAAGATTTGCTATCAGTATAGAGACATATATAATTTATATTTTGCACAACAGAGAGAGGACATTACGAATTCCTTCGAATGCCATTTGGCCTAAAAAATGCACCCAGTACTTTCCAACGGCTCATGGACCACATACTTAGAGGTATTAACAACGTTTACACCTACCTCGATGACGTCATAATAATATCAACGTCATTGCAGGAGCATATAGAAAAATTGAAACAAGTATTTGAAAGGTTTAAAACACATAATCTCAAAATTCAGTTAGACAAGTCAGAGTTCCTTCAAAAACACGTCACATTTTTAGGCCATGAACTAACTGATCAAGGACTAAAACCTAATCAGGACAAGTAGGCTACTATAGAAAGTTCATAAAAGACTTTGCCAAGCTTACGAAACCAATGACCTTATGTCTTAAGAAAAATAGTAAAGTTATACACTCCTCCGAATTTTTGGAGTCCTTCAATAATTGCAAACAGATTTTAACCAATGCACCTATCCTACAGTACCCAAACTTTGACGAACCATTCATACTGACAACAGACGCATCGGACGTAGCCCTTGGTGCAGTACTGTCCCAAGAAAAAATAGGTTCAGACAAACCGGTAGCATACGCATCAAGGACACTTTCGGATACAGAAGCGAAATACTCGACAATAGAAAAGGAGCTCTTAGCCATCGTCTGGGCAGTGAAATACTTTAGGCCTTATCTTTATGGACGAAAATTTGTCATATATGCCGACCATAGACCCCTGACATGGCTAATGTCACTAAAAGACCCTAATTCTAAATGAACTAGGTGGCGGCTTAAACTCGCTGAATATGACTACACGGTTGTTTATAAAAAAGGACGGCAAAACACCAACGCAGACGCTCTATCCAGAGTCAAAATTTATCATAAGAGCATCGATTCACTAGCAGTCAATTTAGATGACAATTTTGACGACAACATCATAAATAGAATTTTCGGAAACGTACGACAAGAGATAGATACGGAGACAGAAGGAATACAAAGCCCGTGGATAATAATGACGACAACAGCAATATCAACGATAATAACGTGACAGTTAGACCTAACGTACAACCCCCTCTAACAGACACAGAATCCGATAGTATGAGTATCGTTACACGCGATCCCGATCACTTAGTGTCAACAAACCATACGCAACCCGACAACGAAAACAACGGCATACCAATCCTATCAGACGCGATCGACAGACAACTAAAACAATTCCATATCAGATCAACTCCAGGATCAACATACAGAGTGGAAAATAGGTCTAGTAATTCTAGAACAGTAATTAAAGATGTATTTATTCCAGTCAATAACACAGAGAAAGAAATTCTTAAAAGAACACACTATTGCTGATCGTGTATTCTACTGCTACTTTTATAATGAAGAACTGTGCATCGTGGTATCCAGGAGACATACAAGCAAATCCATAGAAACTACCATTGGCCTCACATGCTACTCACAATCCAGGCATTCATAAATCAATGTAGTATCTCTTTACAAGCTAAATATGAAAGGAACCATCTTAGACCCTCATTAGCCTTAACGGAAACGCCCACAAAACCTATGCAACATATATTTATGGATCTGTATTCGACAGGCGGTGCCACCTTCCTCACTGTAATAGACAATTTCTCAAAGTTCGCACAAGCAATACCGTTGAACGCCACTAGTAGTGTACATATAGCTGAAGCTTTATTTCAGGTGTTCTCAGTTTTAGGAATTCCTTATAAAATTACAACGGATTCAGACAGTAAATTTGACAATGAATTTATAAAGGAGATGTGCGCTTTACATGGTATTAACATTCACTTTACGATTCCATACAATCCAAATTCGAATTCACCCATAGAACGCTTTCATTCGACTATAGGAGAGATTATCAGAATCCAACGAATAACAAACAAAGATGATCCCATACAATTAATTATGAAATTTTCAGTCATTGCTTACAATAACTCAATCCATTCGGCAACAGAATATACTCCACACGAGTTACTATTTGGACATACAGCTTCTAGAAATCCACTAGAGTTACATTATCCTAAGCAGTTTTACCAGGACTATGTTATCAAGCACAAAATGCATGCAGAAGCCGTCCAGGAATGTGTGTCAGCGCACATGGCCAAAAACAAGGAACAGGTAATAGCGAAGCGAAGCCAGGCAGCAGAGGAGATAACATTCAAGGTAGGTGAAACAGTTTATAAGCAGGTTGCTAAAACAGCGAGAAACGACAAAACTAAACCGGTGTTTAAAGGACCGTATAAGATTATTCATTGACATCCTAATAATGTAGCAGAAATAGTAGGGAATCATCCTAATTCTAAGTCTATTCGGGTACATTTCAAGCTTCTACGAAGACCCCATCTTGTTCCAGGACAACCATCATCGGAGCCTTCGTGTTCCAGGCAAGATCCGACGTAACATTTCAACCCGTAGACAATACGAACGGAGTTCTATTACTTAGACAAGGTCATATTCTGAAACAGACTGATTCCTTCAACCTTGCTTGTGTTTATAATGTTACGCACTTGAATCTAATATCGATAAAATTAATGGCATTATACGCAAGTGCTAAGGCAACTGAAAGTAACAGTACTTCAGAAGAATTACATAAAACATATAGGGATCAGATAGAACATAAGTTAGATTTAATTAATAAGAAAATAATTTTTATTGCACCTAGGATTAGATTTAGGCGTGGTATTATAAATGGACTAGGTTCTATAGTGAAGGCGATAACTGGTAATTTAGACAAAGAAGACGCGATTCGATTTGAAAACTAAATAAATAAAATTCGTAATTCGGTCTATAAAACACAAAGCTCACAGAGGCGAACCCTATCTTTAGCTGAAAGTACTACAAAGGAATTTTCGACACAACTAAGCAAAATAGATGATAACCAAAAGAGATTAACATCTATACTAAAAAACATAACAATTAATTCCGATACAATAAAAAACCAGTTACACTGTTTAGAGATTTACGTTCAAATAAGTTTTAGTTTACAGATTATTTTAGATAAGTTAATGGTGCTAGAAGATGCTATGGCATTCTCGCAATTAGGTATAATGCATCCTAGTATTATAAGCCCACGAAATTTAGTTTTGGAACTTAGTAATTTGCAGAATAACTTTTCACTTTATCCAGTCGAAGAGATCAGTATTGATAATATTCATAAGATAGAAAAGTCTATTAGCGTTAAAGCCTATAGTACAGAACATTCTTTAACATTTATATTAGAAATCCCATCTGTCCAACCTATATTATATGATTATATACACATATATTCCCTGCCAAACAACCTAAACCTAACCATTATACCAAAATCCAAATTCCTCGCACTTGGAAGCGATGAGTACGCTTACCTGGAAGAAGATTGTAAGAAGCTGTCAGAAGATACCTGGCTCTGCAAATCACTGGGTACTAGAGTCATAGAGAAATCTGAAGATTGCATCATCTCACTCATCAAGCATAAAGATGGTAACTGCAATCGTGCGCGCATGAATCTGAAGCGAGGAAAATTGCAGAAGATCAAAGAAAATAAGTGGTTGGTAGTATCAACGGAACCAGAAATTATAAAAACCCAATGCGGACAGAAAACAGAATATAGGAAACTATCAGGAACATTTTTCATCAACCTAACACAGGACTGTCAAGTTAAGATCATGAATACAACAATAAGAACACATACCAGCAGCATCTCGATGGACGAAGTCATCCCTCTACCCAACGAGAACCTAATAAACCAGGAAGAAGTCCAGCACGAAATACATCTGGAAAACATCTCACTAGATAGTGTCCATGAACTTATGAACAAGGTTGAAGACATTCAAGAAATAGAAAACTGGAACTGGTCTTATATTATGGCAATCCCCAGCTGGTCTACAGTGCTCCTCTACATACTAGCAGCATCTATTGCAATCTGGAAGATATACAATTGGAATAAGCGGTAGAGTAAAGCAAGTCACGAGGACGCTTAAAAACAGTAAAATTAAATTACCTTCACCCGATGGAGCTTCTGTATCTTCGGTATGGCTATCAGATGGATGTGAGTCTTCACATATCTCCGATTCGTCACTCTTCCCAGTCTTTTCTGGTGAAGAACTGGATGGCGAATTTTCTTCTCCAATACCACTGTCTAGTTTCTTTCGCTTCTCTTCTGTACCCTTCGAAATTGATTCTGTGTCATCATCACTGGTCTGCTCACGTTTGCCATCGGTCTTTGATTCCTCCCACTCCATCTCAGTCTTTGAGGTTCCCGGCAGATCAGCATTGTTATCGAGGTATACCTCCACATCAGCCGGTACTTCACTGTTCGTCGACGTACATTGTTTAGGATCTGGTGGAGCGCCGTTCTCAGCAGGTTCTTGAGATGTGCCAGATTCAGCTTCCAGGAACTCAAATGCTAGTGAACGACTCTGTGTGTCATTTTCATTCTTGCTAAGGTTGCGTCTTCTTATATTGAGAAAATTTCTAAAGACCACATCAACTCTTCGATCAGAAGCTTCGTCTACTGCATCTGCATCGGCACTAGCATCAGAGTTGGGCTCGCTGTCCCTGTCTTGATCTGGTTGATCTTCATCTTGTGCTTCATCTTGGGAATCTTCATCAGCAGAGGACTCTGATGGCGAATCAAACCTCACAGTACCAGCAACCCTGTTATCTCCCATACTCAATACACGGCTTAGGAGCGCGTTCATTTCGTTCGCGCCATTCTCACGGTCTAAGTCGTGCAGCATATCAAAACGTCCTGAAACAGATATTAGAAATATTAACTAAAATATTAATAAACTTGTTTTTAGCATAGTAAATATATTGTAAAAATTTCAGTTCTAATTTAGAGCACTAAAGCCGCGCGAAATGGAGCCGCCTTGGGGCGCGCGCCATATTGTTCGTTGGAGCGCTTGAACGTGGAGCGGGCCGCTCCATCTGGTGTCAGTTTTTTACCGCACATCAAAGTAGTTTAAGTTTTGGCGCGCGCGCCAGTTGGGACGTTTGTTTTCATTATTTGTGTGTTCATTGCGTTCCGAGCTATGGATAACCAAAGTTGCCGTAAATTAATAAATACGATTATATAGTTTAAAAGATCTGCTGTGGAATAGCATAAGTAGTTTTGATCATAATAAAGCGCTCAGAGAAGATGCATAGAACTATGAAAGCGGCTGGTGCTCGTACACGAGCGACATCCGTGTTGAACGGTCAAACACTGGAGCGGCAGGCGCGCTTAGTTGATAGGCGCATGCTACACACTCAATAATGATCACGATATTTAACGTGATTTTTATCTTGCAATCTTTTTTTTTATAGAATAAGGGTGACAAACGAGCACACAGTCCAACTGATGTTAAGTGGTTGCTGTGTTGTCAGCCGTGAGGACTAAGATGGAATGCCTCCTTTTGGAACACTCACCATACGAAACACAGCAGCGTTATGCTGCTATTTTACGCTGGTATTCTGAAGTTGGAAAAGCTGGAATTTTGGATCGAATTTACATATTACACACTCGATACTAATCGCGTCAGTACAACGGTAGATTTCATTCACTAAAGACGTGCACGTTACATAATCCGAAGCTAGTAACGTAATGAGTGACTATAAAAGTAAAGCTTACGTTGCTATTATATTATTGCTATTTTCTCTTAAAACGTCTCTCTCACGTGAGGTACGCCTGGCGCCGCCACCGCATCAAGAAGCGCGTCCTCCATCGCTGACAATGAATACTGACACGATAAATATCGACCAGAAACTAGACACTCGATATTTATCAACGATACTTGATACAGGTCGTTGGATTTTTGGATTTTTAGAAATCCAGCGATCCGTATCACGATCCGTGATATGCTATACTACACACACACACTCGATAAATATCGTAATCCTAGATAATGATCCAAATATCGTGATAATTATCGAGTGTAGCATGCGCCATACACTTGGAACATTTGGAGCGCGTTCCGCGGAGCGCACTGGTCGGAGCGGTCATTCATGGCGCGCGCGTCAGGATCACGTAATCGATGCGCGGCTTAAAATTAATAACCAATTTCTTTTTCCTTAATAGCCTACAAAAGTCCATTTCTGGACTTGGATGGACTCCCTTACAATTTATAAAGCTGTATTTTTTTTGTTTCTTATCAAGTACAATGCCTCAACAGCTGCTGAAAAACTCTGAACTGTGCATGAAAGTAACTATGAGATTGGTTCCATTCTCTTACCTATTTCTACCACAGAGGAAGTACATCTGATATTTTAATTTAGTTTAAGGGGTATGGAGAACCAATATAATCATAACTACAGAATAGAATTGAATAATTTTTATTTAATATTAATTACTAGTAATTTTTTTTACTTTACCATTGGTTCGGAAAAAAACCTCTGTCCTCGATAGAGCCAGCAAGAAACCCAGCGGGACTTTTTTTATAAATTTTACAATATAAATGGTTGCAAATTATTTACAAAATTTATTTTAGAAACAGCTTGGAAGCGACCACCTCATTTCCAGGGGTTATTATCAACCATGTATTCATTTATATTATAATAACCCTTTTTATACAGTTTTCGTTTAATTAAATATTTAAACTTGGTAATAGAGACCTTGTATATTTACAGGGACTTTGTTGTAAGAGCGTATACATTGCCCCAAGAATGAATTACTGACTCTGTAGAGTCATGAAACCGGTATCACTAGCTTGTGTTTCCTCATGCCATTCCACAAGCCATACATGACAGTGCTTCCTCAGCAATGGTCACTTACAATAACACATGTTAAAAAAGCCGGGCTCAAACTTAGTCTGTGCTATAAAAAGAAACTTTGTGCATCCGACCACGCGCCCGCACTGTCGCACAGGTTTTGTTCGCGATGTCAGTTCTATCAGTATGTATTCAGTATGTAGTGCTTACTTACAGTTCTAGTATGTAATGCTTACAATAATGTAGAACGTTGACTAGCTGGCGACTTTTGTGAAAAAATGATCACGCACCTGGCCTCTCGTCGATGGGTATGTAGATGCGACGGGGGCAGTGCCTCGTGTGGCGGGGGTCGCGCGGGTCGCGGGGGGGCTCCTGCAGCTCGGGGTTGCGGCGCAGCACGCCCAGCCGCATGGCACGCCTCACTGCCGCACGAGACAGCACTTGCAGTTGGGGTGGTGCTTGCTCGTCTGCGGAACAACATCGCATCGCTACTTTAATACTGGGGTTATGAGCTCAAATTTTACATGGTGATGATTTGTCTTGACGATTTTCAAATAATAAGCCATCAATTGGAGCTAGCTCTTCCACTCATCAGATGTCGCTAGTTGAGACTGAGGTAAATTTTTTTGTCACACAATGCCTTTTAATTGAGTTTAGAAATTAGTTTTAAGTAAGTTTAGGACTTGGTAGAGCCTTGCTCCAGCTATTATTATGGTTGTAGCATGAATGGGTCGTCTCAACCGGGGTAGGACCACACTCTCACAGTATAGCAGCGTAAAGTAGCGGTTTAATGCTGCTGTGTTTCGTATGGTGAGTGTAGAGAACTGGAGACCCTTTTTACTGGATACGAGACATTCACTGTTAGTCTAGTCCTCAGGGGTGACACATTTTGCCAGGCATTGTTTAGTGTAAAATACTCTAGAAACTGATAAACATTTACTTTTTTTTATATAAAATAAGGGTGACAAAACTTAACACAATATTTAAAAAAAATAGATTGCAGCAACAAAAAGACCACCCACTCAGGATAATTCTACAGTAACAAAGTTACCGCAGTGCTGACATTCTGTCTGTGACAGGCAAGCTAAGCTTTGACTTGGCAATCTTACAGTTAAGCTAGCCAGTTTATTTGCATGCCATCAAGCAAATAACCTGGCAAAGGCAATCAAGCAAGTAACATCAAGACATGAATAACCATTTTTTATTTAATAGAATATGAGTGACAAACTAGTCACACACACAGTCCACCTGATAGTAAGAGAATGCTGAGGCCCATAGACATCTACATTTACTGTCGATTAAGAATCAAAATGCAGATGTGCTATCACCCCTGAGGACCAAGATGAAATGCCTCTTTCCAGTAAAAAAGAGTCTCCGGTATTCTGTGAGAATGTGGTCCTACCCCAGTATTTAGTATTTAAATGGAATTTTCCATCAAGGAAATATAGGGAGTCTATTGGAGGAGACAATTTCCCACATACCGTCAGATACAGTCTGTACAAGATGGCATATGTTACTTGAGTAAAATAGTGTTAAAACATACCAAGTTTGATCAGTTCTGAGGGTGGATCCGTGGTAGGCAGCTTTAGGGTGACGAAGAACACGTTGAGCATACTTCGCGACACCCACTCGTTCTCACCAACTCGTTTCACTTGCACCAGTGTATCATTCAACGGCATCACCAGAATACCACCAATCTTTACAAAAAAAACTTCTCAATTCATGATATGTTTCAATGTCTAGGAACACTCAACAACTCAACTATATAGAAACCAGTAAAAAGTGCTTTTACCAACATTATTGTGGTCACATTTGAAGTAGTTAACTCTTATGAGGGCTAATTTCTTACGCTCACCAGATGTCGCTAATTGGGACAAAGGTGAACTTATTTGTTACCCAGATGGTCAATCTAAGTGGCGCCGCCCTGGTGGCAGAAAAATTGGAGGCCCCAATGACTTTTTCTGCCACACTACTACTAGAGACACACATCACTACTAGAGTCACACTTCTGGACTGCTTTCGGTCCATTAACTACCATGCAATTCCAGTAAAGTGAACCACACACACACACACACACACATTAATTCTAATATGTGTATGTTTTATATCAAGACAAGGTTTTGCATTACAAATAACTCAAATTAATGTTTAAAGAAACATAGTATAAATACCCTTATGAGTTGCTTAAAGTAGTTTGTATATTCTTCTGGACAGCCAGCGTTACAGTAAACCCGATCGTAGGGCGCTTGCAGCGGAGCCAAACACAGCCCATTCCCTAGGAAACATATAGTGTAGTAAAAAGACATCAATCAGGTTTTCCAAGTGCAGTAAAAAATAAACGTGCTCACTGAAAGCTATGCCACCTTGGATGACTAATATGGAACTTCTAATTACATAATATATAAATAATTTGTTATAAAGATGTTCAAAAACTTATTTGCTAATAACCAATTTAACTACAGCCATAACACCCAAAAACCTTCAAAGTTGTAAACTGTACAAGACGCACTGTAGTGATATAAGTGTAAATAAAGCAACTTGCTACTCCCTTCTGCCAATCTACCCATACCCTAGGGACCGTTCAAGTATTACGTAACGCAATTTTTGAAGATTTTTGACCCTCCCACCCCCCTATGTAACGCGCCGTAACGTTTACCTAGACCCCCCCCCCCTCCCCCTCTAAACGTTACGTAACACCCAAGTGACCATTTTTACCTAAAAGTCACAATTACTTTGCGCAAATTACCGGAACTAAAATAACTTTGTTATTGTTTTAATCGCGTTTGCGGTAATCTATAATTCTATAATATAAAAATTAATCGCTGAATGTGTTGCTAAGCGCAAATCTCGAGAGCAGCTGAACCGATTTCGCTAATTCTTTTTTTATAATATTCCCTGAAGTACTAATATGGTTCTTACGGAGAGAAAAGTTTAATAATTGCCTGAAAAAGTATAAAAACAACACTTTTCTATATTCAAAATAATACAAAATAATATTATATACAAAAGATTCGTAACAAGACTTAAAAGGCAATTTGAACTTTAATACCATACCAATAAAGTTTAAGTGTTAGTGGAGGGGTTCCGGGAAGGCAAAACAATTGAGTGACGTTATTATCGTATAATCCAACGCTGTTTCTTCTGCATATCAATGATATGTTGCTAACTGGTAACATTCATTGCTATGCTGATGACAGCACTGGTGATGCTCCTATACAACGGCCGTGCCAATATTTCTCGGGAAAACGTCGCCGAGTACCGGAACAAACTTGTGTCTGAAGTCGAGTCTTTGCTGAACAAAGTCTCGGATTGGGGCCGACTAAATCTAGTCCTGTTCAATCCCCAGAAGACACAAGTTTGCGCGTTTACTGCTAAAAGAACCCCTTTGTCGTATCTCCTCAGTTTCAAGGTACTCCCCTTCTTGCCTCAGCCAGTATCGGTATCCTCGGAGTCGACATATCGAGTGACGTGCAGTTTCGTGGTCACTTGGAAGACAAGGCCAAATTGGCCTCTATAAAGCTTGGCGTGCTCAGCAGAGCGGGACAGTATTTCATGCCGGCACACCGCCTGCAACTTTACAAGGCGCAGGTTTGGCCTCACATGGAATACTGTTCCCATCTCTGGGCAGGGGCTCGACAGTCCCAGCTCCTTCCACTTGACCGCATCCAGCGCAGAGCGGCTCGAATCGTCGACGATCGAGCCCTTTCCGATCGGCTCGATTCATTGGCACTGCGAAGAGATGTTGCATCCCTTTGCATTTTCTTTCGCATCTACCATGGGGAGTGCTCTGAGGAATTGTTCGGATTAATCCCAACCACCAAATTTCACGAACGCACATCGCGGCAGAACTCCCGATACCATCCACACCATCTGGATGATTGGCGGTCCACCACTGTGCGATTTAGAAGATGTTTTCTTCCTCGCACGACTTCCTTGTAGAATCGATTACCATCAGCGATTTTTCCGGACCGATACGACTTAGGGACCATCAAGAAAAGAGCGTACTCCTTTTTAAAAGGCCGGCAACGCATCTGCAATTCCCTCCCTGGTGTTGCAGTTGTTCATGGGCGGCGGTAGTCACTTACCACCAGGTGAGCCGCATGCTCGTTTGCCCCCTCTCCTATAAAAATAAATAAATAAATATAATATCGTATCATATCGTATAAATATTTGTCAATATTTCTACGATGGTAACATTGGGGTACGAAGTTCGACGGGTCAGCTAGTAATAAATAAAACGAGATTTCTTCCTCGCAATACATTGTTGATTGTTTATTTTATTTATTCATATTGTTATTTAATAAACAATCACACAATGTAATAAACTTTTGCTTAAGTTTAAAATATGTTAAAATGGGCTCAAATCAGTCCTAATAAACTTTTACTACTAACCATACATTTAATTACGCCGTTTTTTTAACTTGGCCTTTTCCTTACATACATTTTATTAAATAAACTCTTAAAATAAAATAACATATTTATTTTTACCTTTGGCAATGCAATGTAAAAAACAAACAAAAACTTGTGTCTGAAGTCGATTCTTTGCTGAACAAAGTCTCGGATTGGGGGCGACTAAATCTAGTCCAGTTCATTCCCCAGAAGACACAAGTTTGCGCGTTTACCGCTAAAAAGAACCCCTTTATCGTATCTCCTCAGTTTCAAGGCACTCCCCTTGCTACCTCAGCTAGCATCGGATTCATCGGCGTCAACCTAAACGAAAAGGGTTGCTAACTTGGGAGATTTTAATTCTCTTGTTTTTTTATTTAAAATAAAAAATGTTACGTAACGCGTTGGTCGAACCCCCCTCCCGCCCCTGTAACGCATCGTAACGTTTTACAAGACCCCCCCTCCCCCCCAAATTGCGTTACGTAATACTTGAACGCCCCCCTACCTACCTACTTAGAGAAGATTAAGATGTTAATTATTCTAATGAGAGGTCTTAAAACCTTGCGAGGTCTAGACGTGATCAAAGCTAGTGGACCTGATGGTATACCAGCTATAGTTCTAAAGGTCTGTACACCTGAGTTGTCTCCTGTGTTGACACGCTTGTTCCGCCTCTCATTCAGGACTGGAATAGTGCCCAAATCTTGGAAGCTGGCCAATGTGCAGCCTGTGCCTAAAAAAGGTAGCCGTATCGACCCTGCCAACTATCGGCCGATTTCAATTACCTCCATACTCTGCAAGATTATGGAGCGTATATTGAACGCCCACCTCATGGCATACCTAGAGCAAAATGATCTCCTCAGTGATCGCCAGTACGGGTTTCGCCGGAATCGATCAACTGGGGACCTTCTAGCTTATGCCACCACCCACGGGCGAAGCCCTCGAGAACAGTGTTGAACCACTTGCTGTTTCGCTCGATGTTTCGAAGGCCTTTGACAGGGTTTGGCATGCTAGTCTATTGGGCAAGTTTTCAGCTTACGGCTTATCGCCTGGCCTGATTGTCTGGGTGAAGGACTTTCTGAGTGAACGGTCTCTCCGGGTCGTCGTCGATGGCTGCTCATCCGATACTGTGGCGACTAAAGCCGGTGTTCCTCAGGGATCCGTTCTCCCCGCAACTCTCTTCCTGCTGTATATAAATGATCTGCTCATTCCCGGTACCTATGGGTATGCAGACGATACCACAGTTGTGGAGAGATACCAACGAAGCGCCCGGGCTAGTCGGGATCAAATCCAGTCAGAAAAAGAGGCTATAGTTGAGCGTGTGAGTCTCACACTATAGGCAATTTCCGAATGGGGCGATGCTAATCTCGTAAGATTTAATGCCTCCAAAACACAAGCGTGTCTTTTTACCGCTAAAAGGAGCCCGCTCACCTTGGCTCCTACTTTCCCGAATGTATACTTGGCGTACACTGACCGCCTCTCAGATGTTAGGGATTGAATTTTCTGCGAACCTAAACTATGGGCGGTTCATTGAGTCCAGAGCCAAAGCAGCCGCAAGGAAACTTGGTGTCCTTGCAAGTGCGCGGCGGTACTTCACGCCGGGGCAGCTTCTTACCTTATATAAAGCGCAAGTCCGATCGTGCATGGAGTAGGGGAGACCGGGTACAAAAGTAACATTTTGTACTTTTACCTTGGTTTCTGGTTAGGTGTAATTATTTTAATGAAATTAACATAGCCATATATACATTCTGTTTATGTTCTTTACATTAATTTCCTGATTTACCTTATTATTGTGTATTTTATATGAATCACAGAGACTTCAAAAAAATTCGTCAGTTGTTACTTTCGACCACGTAGGCAGGTCGAAAGTAACACGTTGTGGGTCGAAAGTAACAGGACAATAGGGTATGTAATGAATATAATGTAACATATTAAATCAGCAAATTGTTTATTAGAAGACTTTATAATAATAAGACAGATAAACATTTGCATTTTAAATGCTCAAAAATTATATATTTTAAGACAACAAAACGAATTAGTCTTGGTTGAAATAGGATCAATTATTATATGATAATTAGTCCTTTACTCAGATATTCATTATTAGTCCTTTACTCAGACTCACAATTATGGCACACATAATTTCCATCATCGTTGACACAGTCAGCATGTGACCACATATTTCATTTGGAAAATTGCTCATTTGGTCAACTATTGCTAAAAGTTTCTAAACAAACGAGATAGAAGTAATCTCCATCGTAAAATTTTTTTTCTTACTATTAGCTGCCTTCTTTGTCTTTTTCCTTTTCCCTTCTCTTCGTAGATATCAACTTTCTCTTGCCATTTCCAGTATCGGATTGTAAATGCGTTTCTTGGATTTATTTGTTTGTTGGTATTCTTCTTCAATTGTGATTTTTTCAGATTTCATATTATGTTCGTTGAAACACAAGGGCCGCAACAGGCTTGTCGCTTGAACGCACCTCAAAGAGAGGCTCAGGTGTCGTTTTAAAATACCCGTCAACCACTCCTTACCCGCCATTTGAGTATCGTGCCACTTTTTAGGAAATGTTTTTCCATCTTTTATCGCCTACTCATATGTTGGTTTACGTACTTCAGATGGAGATAACCCAAAATAAACTCCAGAGCACTCGATCAAATAGTCCAGTAGACATTATTCCTCTTCAACGTAACGCAACGGTAAGACGTAACGGTAGCCCACAACTGCAGTAGAATTTCCTGCTTTAATTTTTTTATGTATCTATATAATGTTACATGACAAACATAATATTTTTTTCCACCTCGTGTGGTAGTTATTATGCATTATCGCGGCATTCTGTTCAAATAAATACCCACATAACAATATTAAATAAATAAATCAATACTAGAACAAAAGTAACATGTTACTTATGTACCCATAGAGCTATGTTACTTTTGTACCCGACCACATTTTTGTTAAAACATGAAAGATAGCCTTAAAACGGAACGTGCCAGACAAAAACGAATTAAAACGCTGTATAATCAATAAAATCAAGAATTAGTAAGCAAATATTCAAATTGTTATCATCCTTTTAAGACTATGAAAACATTAAATAAGAAAACGTCAAAAAACTTACTTTTGATTTGTGAAATCACTTACCGTCCTCTCACTCAACCTAACAGCGCGTGGCTTGCGCGACGACTTAATGTAAGTGAGGGGGTCACCACCAGCTATCACCTTACGGAAGCAAAGCGGTGTTTGGCTATTGGATAAACCTACAGAGCATTTGTTACTTTCGACCCGCCGTTACTTTTGTACCCGGTCTCCCCTACTGCTGTCACAAATGGGCTGGTGCTGCAAAATACCACCTGGCAGCATTGGACTCAGTGGAGAGACGTGCTAAGAGGCTCATTGGTGACCTTGATTTGGTTGAAACCAATCTTGTCAGTCTCGAGCACAAGCGCAGAGTAGCCAGTCTCTCGGTATTCTATACGATTCATTTCGGTGAGTGTGCGCAGGAATTACACGCTTTAATTCCTCCCTCTCCTTTCCACTATAGGACAACCAGACGGTCGGCGGGTCTTCATCCCTTTGTTCTCGATATTCCACGCATTAGAACCGAACGGTTTGCTTCGGCTTTTGTAATGCGTACAGCAAAGGAATGGAAAAATTTGTCGGCGTCTATTTTTTCGTCCGAATACAATCTGGGCGTTTTTAAGGCAAGAGTGAAACAAGAGTAAACGGGCGCTAGCACAGATGCACTCTCTTTTCTCTCACTCTCATAGTCTGATCAACTGACAACCCGACATGGTCTCAGAGAAATAAACACGGAACCAGTGGCGTTACGTGATCTCTGGGGGTAAAACATTGTCAATGTGCAGAGTCAGATACAATTGTACTAGTAATGATGCTCTTTGTCATCAGTCTGTAAAATTGTGATTTGGCATTTTCAACAGATATACCGCTATACATATATGGTTGCCAAAGCATGTTTTTGTCAGATAGCATGTTTTCAACATGCATACAGTACAGGTAAAGTCGACATTCGGAAAAGTTGCTACAGCTTAAGGCCAAAAGTAATTACTTTACTTTATTTACACAAATTTGGATAGATAATAAAAACAATAATAACCAAGAACAACTTTGTATAATTTTACTCACCCAAGTAATATTTTGGCTCACAATAGTCAAAATCATCTAAAGTAGGAGAATTCTCAATAAACTGGCGATTCTTCGTAGTAGCATACTCCACTACTGTTTCTTTTAATTCCACTCCATGATTGATGCCCCCGGAACCCAGAACTAGACCCACCATAGTGTTGAGGTATCCCGTACCAGATCCAATGTTCAAGAATGACAGCCCTGGCTTCAGCTCCAGTCCTTCCATCACTTCGCTATTGGAGTAATGGAATTTCACTTAGAAAAGAAATATCTAATGGTCAATAAGATTTTTGTCTTAAATGTTAGCATTTAAATGGACGAGCTAACAAATTATTATATTTTTATAGGAGAGGGCGCAAACGAGCATGCGGCTCACCTGATGGTAAGTGACTACCACCGCCCATGAACAACTGCAACACCAGGGAGGGAATTGCAGATGCGTTGCCGGCCTTTTAAAAAGGAGTATGCTCTTTTCTTGAAGGTCCCTAAGTCGTATCGGTCCGGAAAAATCGCTGATGGTAATCGATTCCACAAAGAAGTCGTGCGAGGAAGAAAACATCTTCTAAATCGCACAGTGGTGGACTGCCAATCATCCAGATGGTGTGGATGGTATCGGGAGTTCTGCCGCGATGTGCGTTCGTGAAATTTGGCGGCTGGGATTAATCCGAACAATTCCTCAGAGCACTCCCCATGGTAGATGCGAAAGAAAATGCAAACGGATGCAACATCTCTTCGCAGTGCCAATGAATCGAGCCGAATTTACCATCTGAGGCTGCATATCCACTTACCGCCAGGTGGGATTGAATTGTTAATATAATACAAAGAATACAGCGGTGATCTGACTTTTATGTTTCATGTACACATTAAATAATGCCCAATATAATATGGGTTAATTTATTCTAAAGAATACTTAAATAATATGCTCAACCTTAGGTTTGTAACTATCACATTTGGGTAACTAAACATGGGAGTTACTGTCACTGCACTTTATCTTGTCATTTCAATTACTTTACCATCTTTATCAAAATGCAACCAACCATACAGATTGACTAGTATCATATGTGGAATAAATACTAATACTGCGTCAACTCTACGATTGAATTGAATTGATGGAACAACGATGGAGTGCGGTATGAAGGAGAGCGCAGTCCGCCTCTTGCCCGCGAAGTCTGCGGTAGTACCGGTTGGCTTCACTTGCGTACCGGTACGCCCGTTTGGGAGTGTCACGTACATGGAATCAGTTGCACGGGTTTGGTGTTCACCCAGTAACACAATATTACTCAGCATTATTTTTATTATTTAATTAACTTGTTTAAAATATTGGGAAAAGATTGTATGACGCCTTAAGTAAATTTGAATTGTTACAACCATGTGATACTTTCCATCACGATTTTCAATTGAATTACATGTAAGGATGGGAATTCATTATATCATTAAATTCAACAATTAAAAAAACCCAATAATAAATGTCGTAAATATTTGTCGGTAACGAGGCGGCGTGCATTGAATAAACAGAACAAAAGGTACAATTGATCCACACATAATATATTATGTACAGCAGTGTGAAGTCATATAAAATATAAACTAAGAACATATATTTCATTAAGGGGCTACTCCATGCGAACGATCTTGGGCATTTGACCGGCGCGCCGCTCGCTACAGTATATTATTGCGTAAGAAATATGTAAGACGCCACCTATTGTACGAACGTAGTATTATATTTTCAACATCAATAAACTATTTTATGGAAATACACACAGCGTACAAAGATAAATGTATTTTAATTTTTTTATTCGGTATATATTAATCATCATCATCATCATCATTACAGCCCTTCACAAGTCCACTGCTGAACATAGGCCTCCCCCAAAGAATGCCACAAAACACGGTCCTGAGCCACCTGCATCCATCGACTTCCTGCATGTCTTACCAGGTCGTCACTCCATCTCGTGGGGGGACGCCCTACACTTCGCCTACCGGTACGAGGCTGCCACTCGAGAACCTTTCTTCCCCATCGGTTGTCGGTTCTTCGAGCTATATGGCCGGCCCACTGCCACTTCAGCTTACTAATCCGTTGGGCTATGTCGGTCACTCTGGTTCTACTGCGGATATCCTCATTCCTAAGTTTATCACGCAGAGAAACTCCGAGCATAGCCCTCTCCATAGCTCGCTGAGCGACCTTGAGCTTCCTCATACGGCCAGCAGTGAAGGACCACGTCTCAGTTCCGTAAGTCATCACTGGCAACACGCACTGGTTGTACAATTTCGTTTTAAGGTTTTGAGGTATGTCTGACGAGAAGATGTGTCGTAGCTTCCCGAACGCTGCCCAGCCGAGTTGAATCCGTCGATTGACCTCTCGGTCGAAGTTGGACTTACCCAGTCGGACTATTTGTCCCAGGTAAACATACTCGTCAACAACTTCGAGCTTAGTGTTCCCAACAACTATCGGCATAGGTGTGACATGGACATTAAACATGATCTTAGTTTTGTCCATGTTCATCTTAAGACCTATCCGTTGGGAAACACTATTGAGGTCATTGAGCATAGTGCTTAGGTCCTCCAGCGATTCTGCCATAAGGACTATATCGTCGGCAAATCGAAGGTGAGTGATGTACTCGCCATTGATGTTGATACCGTATCCTTTCCAGTCCAGAAGCTTGAAAACGTCTTCCAATGCAGCGGTGAAGAGTTTCGGGGATATGACGTCACCCTGTCTTACACCTCTCTGCAATTGGATAGGTTTCGTACTCTGGTTCTGTACTCGGATAGCCATCGTAGCCCTACTGTACAAGCACTTCAACACTTCGATATACCGACAGTCAACTTGGCACCGCTGAAGGGACTGCAGCACCGCTCAAATTTCGACGGAATCAAAGGCTTTCTCATAGTCCACATACGCCAGACATAGTGGCAAATTGTACTCTTCGGACTTCTGTACAACTTGCCGAAGGGTATGTATGTGGTCTATGGTGCTAAAGCCCTTTCGGAAACCGGCTTGTTCGGGAGGCTGGAAGTCGTCAAGTCTGCGCGCGAGACGATTCGTAATGACTCTCGAAAACAGCACGTAGACGCGGCTCAGAAGGGAAATCGGTCTGTAGTTCTTCAAGAGCGCGTTGTCACCTTTCTTGAAGAACAAGACCACCGCACTTCTGCTCCACGCCTCCGGTGTAATGCCACCATGGAGGACGGAATTAAAGAGCTTCTGAAGGACTTCAAGTACCGGTCTTCCACCCGCTTTCAGAAGCTCCGCTGTAATTCCATCCTCGCCTGGGGCCTCACCGTTTCTAAGGTGCTGGAGAGCCATCCTAATCTCGCTCAGACTGACATCCGGGATATCTTCGGAATAGTGTCGGATGAGACTCGCTCTTGGATCGTTACTCACACTTGCGTGTGGCTCCAACGATGATGTGTACAGCTGCCCATAGAACCTCTCAATCTCACTCAAAATCTCAGGTGTCCCGGAAACGATGCTGCCACATTCTGTCTTCAGCTTTGACAGTTGGCTCTTTCTGGCAGACAGATCTCTGGCAAAGACTTTGGAGCCTTGGTTCCGCTCGATCGCTTCTTCAATACGAGCTGTATTGAAGTTGCGTAGGTCCCGCCGCATGCATTTGGAGATCTGTCTGTTCAGATGCCTGTATGCTGTCAAGTCTCTTGAAGAATGTAGCTTCATCTCCCGTCTAACAGCCATGAGATTAAGAGTGTGATCGGAGAGTTTTTGTGTTCTTCTGCGGCGGGTCTTGCAGAACTTAGCTCCAACCGCATGGACAGTTTCCACGAGCTTGTCATTCATATCGTCCACTTCATTGCAGTCTTCTAGGCACTGAAAACGGTTTTGTAACTCGAGCTGAAAGGTTTCGGGACTTTGAAACAGAGCACGAGGGGGACGGAGCGTTGACTTCATTAGACGAGACCTCTCCAACTTAACGTTTAGGTTCAGTGTGCCTCTAACCATTCGGTGATCGCTACCAGTTTTCACCCTCGCGATCACGGAGACATCACTGAACAGTTGTCGTCTGGTCGTCATAATGAAGTCAATCTCATTTTTTGTGGAACCGTCGGGGCTCGACCAGGTCCACTTCCTGTGGGGCCGCTTCTGGAAGAAAGAGTTCATCATAAAGAGTCCCTCTTTCTCCATGAAGTCGGCCAGCTGCTGGCCCCTTGGGTTCCGTTGCCCTATTCCAAATTTCCCTACTTTCAGCTCACCGTTCTCTCTTGTGCCTAGTTTTGCATTGAAGTCTCCCATTAACACCGTATATTGGGTTTTGGAGGAATGCATATTATATACGGTATATATTAGTTGCATTATATTAGAATTATGTATTTTCATATATTATCTAATTATGAAATTTCATTTTTTTTAATTAATTATAATTAATTATATATTAAAAATGAAGCATTGAAAATTGTGAGTTTAAAAGATACCTATTCACTATAGGTAAATAAATAGATAGCTCGGCTTTTGTACAAATATTTGGTGCAATAAAAAATAAATAAATAAATAGGATGTTTCGCAGATGTGTTTTTGATTATTGTTAATTTTACGTGTCACGTATTGAAAAGTAACATACCCACCTACTAATTTTTGAACTGAGCACCTTGTAACTTAGCCTGCTTATTACTTATGCTGACAGACATTATCCTCACCCCAATGATTGATGAGGATGAAAATCAATTTTATTTCTACATACGTAATTATATTTATTTATACATAAGGGTAACTTTAATAAAGGTAATACAAAAATCAACAAGAAGTATAATGGTTCAATCTTTCAATTTCAATTGTAAAAAAACGTTACCCCCACACTAGGATCTTCTCCTGTGTCGTGGAGGCAGTTTACAAACATAAATTGCACAAGGACAAACATCCAGACCCGGAACAATTATTTGTAGGTCATACAAATACTTGTTCCGTGCGGGATTCGAACCCGCGGCCCCCAGCGCAACAACTGATTGCTAAGCCACTGCGCCACGGAGCCGTCGCCGGGTTATAGCTAAAGTGACCATACGTCCCGTTTTGAACGGGACTGTCCCTTTTCTCGGTCACCTGTCCCATTGTCCCCAAACAAAGCTCCGGGACACAAAATTGTCCCGTAACTCGTTGGATGGTAGTATTCAAAGTCAACAATCATCAACATAATTTTTTTTAATTGAATATATTTTATGTCTCCTGGTACAAATGCTCCAGTAGAAAGAGTATTTTTTAATTTTGAATAAATTGTGGACGTCTGAAAGAAACACTTACGGTTCCAGTTCTAAAGGCGATGTTGTTAACAAAGGTAACAATAAAAAAAAACTTGAGCAGAATTTTATTCTTATTTAAAATCATCACCAACTTTATTAAAGCAGATTTAATCCACTGACAACTGTAATTAATAATTAAAAAAAATATGTTGCATTTAATAATTACCGTCTATACCAAATATAATTTTATATTGAACACTAATAGTATAAAGTTATAGTTTTTAGAGTATAAATAAACTCATGTCCTGTTTTGAGTTAAAAAATAAATGGTCAGTTTAGTTTTTTTTAGTTAAATTTAGTTTTAAAAAATTTTAGTTTATAGTAAAAAGTAGGTATATTAATACCTACTTAGATACTTTTTACCGAATTAGGGTGGATGCCCCTAATACCAGTCATGCCCCTAATTCCAGTCTTTTCGCCTTTTTTACTCCATAAATAAGATTTCTAGTAGTCTTAACTACAAATATTGTCATCTAAAAAATTCTTTGTACCTAGAGGAAAGTATATTTATTCAAATATTTTAAACTTAACAGTGTTAAAATCAAAACAGGTACGCAACGAAAAACGATCATTTTCCTAATTATTTGACAAGTTATGATCCCGGTAAAATTATGCTTACTTTACATTATCTCATATATAGGCTTTTCGATTTGTATGAATAGACTATAGACATAGTAATGCAGTTATTGTTGTTTGAATTTACAAGTTATTTATTCTCTTTTAGTGGAAATTAATGGGGCTGTAATTAGATAATATAAGAAATGTATGGAGTGCATAATGTCAGCCGCCCGGCTGTTATTTGGTTTGAAGTACCTAATTAGAAGTACCTAATTTCAGCCACGTAATATAAATCGGGGCTGCCATAAACTAGAATAAATACCATTAATTAGATCATAACTTATTTTATAGCTAAGGGAGTTATGATCCATTCGTCTGTTTTAAAATTGGTTTTAGATTTTAAAGTTTAGCAAAAGATGTACTAGCTTTTCTCTCTGACATTCGGCGTATAGAACACCATATGTACTCAATTATTTTTTGAAAAAGAAGAAAAAAACAAGCAATAAATAATATACTATATTTTAGTAAAAAACTATATCTTAGTAATACTAATTATAATTATAACTTAGAACATAAATGAAAAACTCATAACTGATTCTATATTATCAAGTATGAAGGAACTAGTTACAGCCAAAATATCTAAGTCATTATTCATTTATTTAAGATTATTGAATGTTATTGATAAAAACTATACATATTATGGAACATAGAAACCACAAAAATTTATATCTTATAAGGTAACGAAGAATACTAATTTTAAAAGTTGTATGTAGGATGATAATATTATTTAAAGATATAGGAGCAGCATTTATATTATTAATATTTTGTTTAATTCTGAAAATTTTACCCTAATTATTTACAAGTATTGCTTTGGATGTCAAAAATTCCGTAACATAAATATTTTTTGCACTCCATTTATAAATATGTTTAACTTATTTAATTGACATTCCTTTCTTTCTTTTTTTTTATTGTATTCCTTAATTTTTTTAAGAAAATCCTTTTTCCGACTTGTAGACATGTAATCGATAGTTTGTGTTTTAGTATAATATATATATGTCTTTTAAATAAAACTAATTTTACGGATTTTATCGCGTATATTAACTGGC